AAATTTTATTATTTCCCATAAATTCTGCTTCTGTCAGCAATGCAGAATCAGTATTTGAAAGAGAACATAATAAAATGTGTCCAGATATACTTGCTGCTTGATTTAGTTTAGACTTCAGGAATAATGGGAAATCATTAGTATCAAGTACAGTGCTGCCTGACACTTGTTGCTCAGAACCTGTGTTAAGTGAAGCCAGTGTCACTTTCAAGGCAGAAGAAAGCAACTTTCTGTGTCCCCCAGATTTTCACTTCAGCTCCAGAAAAACCTAGTTTGTCTACTGTGTGTCGGGTTCTGAGACAGCTTTCAGGAAAATAACGGCACAGCGCCCAGTTTTCAGATTTTCACAGCCCCATAGAGAAGCAGAACATGTGACTACAGTGAAACAATTATAATTCTGCTTTACAGAGTATAAAGGAAGTCATGCTTAGGAGGAGTTCAGGGAAAGCCTTCACAGAAATGGTGATTCATGAGCAGAAATTTTAACAAAAGTTCATTAGGTGAACAGAGAGAGAAGGCTGATGGAGGTGAGATAAAAGTGTGAAGTTATAAGAGTCTAAAACAGCTCCGGGAGTGTGGGTATTTGGTATTTGCTACAAAGTAGAGTCTGGGGAAGTTGGAGAAAAGGGATTGAAGTGGGAGAAGGCCAAATGTGGCTGTAGTGAAGAGAAACGAAGGGGCCAGGAAATGAGTCTTAATTGCCATGTGTAGTGCCTTGGATTTTACCCTTAGAATGATTTAAGGTTTTTGAGCATGTCATTTTATGGTCACATTTCCATTTTGGAAAGATTATTTGTGATTAGCTTAAGGCGAATGGTGTGGTGGTAACAAGATTGTATGGTAGCATGGAGACCTAGTTAAAAGGGTAATGCGATACTTTAAATGAGTGTTGAGATGATTTTCTGGTATAAAACTTTCTGTTGATTCATAAATATGCTGCCACATTTGTGACTGTTGGCAAATTAAAAATATTTGTAGTATTCACTAGAACGAATTCATTGCTGCTTTTATAGTTTGAAATTATTCATGGAATTAATAGCATTAAAAAATTGAAAGAGGGTTAGTATTTTATTTGTCAGTGGAATTAAACCACTCAACTTCTCACACAAACAAAAATCTTGTAATTTTGTTATATAATGTGGAATATAACCTTACAATGATATATTGAATTTTTAATATATACTTATCTAGTTATTTGTAGAAATTGTGCATATTTGAAAATAAGTACGTAATGTGCTTAGTACATGGTAAGTACTCAGTAACTATTTGCTGAGTTTGCATTTGATGCTTGTGAGTTTTAACCAAGACACTTTATTAATTCAAGTCCTGGAATAAGTGACATATATATATATATATTTTAAATAAAGATAGGACCTCGCTCTGTCACTCAGGCTGGAGTACAGTAGCACAGTCATGGCTCGCTGTAACCTCAAACTCCTGGGCTCAAGTGATTCTCTTGCCTTAGCCTCTGGAGAAGCTAGGAATATAGGCACACACCACTACGCTCAGCTAATTTTTAAAATTTTTTGTAGAGATGGAGTCTCACAACAGCCCAGGCTGGTCTCAAATTCCTGGGTTCAAGCAATCCTCCCACCCTGACCTCCCAAAGTGCTAGGATTACAGGCATGAGCCACTGCACCCACCCATGACTGATACTTCTAAGCAGAAAGTTAAATTCCAAACCAACAGAAAAAAAAGAAATGTTTTTCAGGGAAAATTAAAGTCACAAATACATATAAGATGCTAACTTTGCAAAGAGCATGTATTTAAAAGATCATTGCAACTCATATAATTGGAAAAGCACGTTTGAAAATAGCTTTAAATTTTCTCACAGAAAATATGACGTATGAGTTTTCCTACGAAATCTTTGTTTTGATGCATGAATTCTCAGTTCTTAGTCTCTACAGCAAGACACAAAAGTTAAGAGTTGAAGAGATTAGCATATCCATAGCATTGAGGGGTATATATTATTAGCTTACCACATCTTTGTCAATTTGAACCCAGGATTAAAACAAAATGTTGCTATTTAAGTACATATGGTAGTACACAACTACAACATAAATGTTAGACTGTATGTCCCTAACCAAATAATGGAATAATGATCAATATCCATCAAGTGTTAGTTATCTGCAGTTCAGACTAATACTCTGGAAGCAGATTCTTTTATATTAGCCAAACTTTGTTTACATTTATGTAGAATGTTTTCAGTGCATAGAGTTTTATGACTGCAAAATTATTACTTTGCATTTGATACCAGATTTTATTTCAGTTTTCAGAGATTATGTTCAGGTTTTAGAGGTTAAGATGAATTTGCTATGCTTGATTTTTATAGAAGAATTTAAAAAAGTAACATTTTAGTAGAATCTGTTTATCTTGTCTCTTTTTTCCCCCTATGATAATTGATTGTAGTACATTACTTTGAGGACAGTTTTTTAGCAAAACGTATTTTTACTTCACACTCTTAATAGATTTCTGTTAGGGGAATCACTGGTGACATGTTTTAAAGCAGAGATCTTTTCATGCTTATTTTTACTATTTAATGAGATTTCAGGTATATTTTAACAACTTGGGGTTTCCGTGATGAATCATTAAAATAAATGAGTGGGCTGGAAGGTAATACTAACTTTTCTCACCACTGCCCTATTTTACTCTGCTGGGTTATTGGTTGCTTTTTAAATAGAACCTGGGTGTGTTGGTGGGTGGAGGTGCAGAAGGGAAGGGAGAGAAAGGGTCAGTAAGAAAATACCAGGTAAACTTCTGATGACCTACTGAGAAATACTGCTCAAGTTTCACTTTCCCCAAATTAAGCCATTTAGTGTTTAAGCCCACTGTTTTTTGCTTTAACAAGCTTAAGTTTCCAAATATTGCATATAGGTAAATCAAAACTATGTTTTCAACAATTGATTGAAGTTTTAAGGTATCAAGCCATATGTGGATTAGCCTGTGGAATCAATTTCTCATGTGTGTGGGATCAAAACCGTTAAAACCATCATCACTGAAACTGTACCTTCCTACAACTAATAACAGAAAGGTGTCTATGGAATATATTAATACAACAATTTCTCTGATTTAAAATTATTACTAGGTGTTTGGTTGGAAAATGATTTGAATATTATAGGTAACTAAACTGACGTCATATGAAGGCTAATTACAGGTTTCAGTGTGACTGAAATTTATTTTTTTAATTGACATGATATACTTATATTTAGCATATACTTTTCAGTAAATCAATGGCATATTGCAGATTTTTACTATCTATACTGTTAAAAACATTTCAAGTACCACAGCAGTTCTAAGTGCTAAAGGAGGTAGATAAAAATGTAGTTCACCTTGAAAATGATCATGGCTTAGGGAATAAAGAAATTGGGTCAAGCCTAAAATAATTGCAGGTACAATGACAAAAAGTTTTAATAAAAATTTAAAAATACTCACAGCACTGGTTTCAGGCTACTTTTGTTCTCTGTGATCTTATCAATGCATTATTAGTTTTTAATTGGGATGATGCTAATGGTGATTTTTCATTTTGGTCAAAATGTTTATATGAAATACTATTGATATTTTCACATTGTATCCCCTTTCAATTATAAATATACATTTTCAAAAAGGTAGACAATTCTTAAATAGATCATTTTGACTTCTGATGATCTTAAATAGAATTTGAAATGGTATAAAATATTTATGTCACAGCTATCACTTTGACTTATTTTATATTGCCAAATTTGTTGTTTAGCATTTAGCCATGTATCATTAAATCATAGTATCGATAATGAATTAAACTTTCAAAAGGCTTTAGTAGTATAGTAAGTTTTCATTCATCTGGTGTCATTGGGGAATACATTGTGCTGAAGAAGTGAGTTTTTCTTTAACTGAAGCTTATTTAAGCAGAAAAACTTAAAAATTGATACAATTTATCTGAAATATTTTATATGCTCTTTTAGGGAGCAAGCATGGAGCGGCCATTTACTCTTTTCTTAATGTCATATAGTACTATTCTGAGTGCCATGCAAAAAGGACATGGGTTTTCTGTTTGGTATTTGTTTTCCAAACTAAGTTTTTTGTTGTTTCTTCCTTTTCAAGTGCCACATCCCTAATTCACGTATTCTTTTGTTGTTGTTGTTTTGAGATGGAGTTTCGCTCTTGTTACTCGGACTGGAGTGCAGTTGTGCTATCTCGGCTCACTGCAACCTCTGACTCCCAGGTTCAAGCAGTTCCCCTGCTTCAGCCTCCCAAGTAGCTGGGATTACAAGCATGCGTCACCATGCCTGGCTAATTTTGTATTTTTCGTAGAGACAGGCTTTCACCATGTTGGCCAATCTGCTTTCGAACTCCTGACCTCAGGTGATCCATCTGCCTCGACCTCCCACAGTGCTGGGATTACAGGCGTGAACCACCACACCCAGCCTCATTCTGGTATTCTTAATCAGTTTAAATGTTTCATAATTTAAGGTTTCTGGTGGTACTTGGGACAATGCTTTAACAGGCTCATAAACTCAGGCACCAATAGGAGACTTTTGGCTCTCTGCCATCTTCTGGCAAACATCTGGCCACAGCCGCCTCCTATAAAGGAAACGCTGTCCTTGGTTTAGAGTTAGCACCTTAAACAGTGAGGCCCTATTACTGCTGGTTCCAAGTACTTGTTAGTTAGTAGCCTTTGCTAGTGGTGCAAAAATGTCTGTATTCACCCTACATGCTTGTGAACATCTGCAGTATCAAGGTGACCACTTGTAGCTTTCTCTGACTATTGCTGAAATGGGCAAATAGTGTATTCCCTTTGTATTTTAGCAAATTCCACCATAGCAGTGAAGTGTTTTTTTTTTTTTTCTTTTTCTTTTTTCAACCTCATGCTTATTTGTTTCAAGCAGTTTTCTAAAACAAAACTCAAGCTTAGCCAAAGTATTTGAACTGTTCTTTAATGTGCTATATACCATTTGGTTTGAATCATATATTTAAAAACCAGCTTCCCCCCATTTACTTGTATCTAATGGGAATCATCTTTCTTCCAGGTTGTGCTTCAAGAAGACCATAGGGAAGAACGCATTTTCATCTTGCTGCAAAAGTTGCAATAGAAGTAAGTAGGGGAACTGCCAGGATATGTCTGTCTCCACAAAACAAGTAGAACAAATTTCCATGAATCAAAGCCACTAAGTATAGTTTTCAGAGATGGTAGGACATAGTTATTTTCCCTAGAAAAACACCCCAAATGCAGGCACACCCATTGGCCAATGGAAAAAATGTTCACGTAAATGCTAGTTCAAACCTGTACATTTCACTCTTCTTACTGAACTGTCAGAGGGGTGGAAATCTACTATAGCTATAATCTTTTTTTCCCCTTTTCTATTTTTCAGCCTCCCACATGCTTAGTGTTCAGTTCTGCCTACTGAGCGTCTTGAATCTACAGCAGCACCTACATGTACTGCCTCCACAGTGGCTGCTGATAATTTGCAGATAACTTGTGAACCAGGCCTGTAAGAAATATCATGATATGTACTTTAGATTAATCATGGAAAAGGACAAGATGATGCAGAATCAGAAAGCATTTTTCTTTTCCAATATGGATATCGCTTTCTTTGAGGTTAGATGAGTGAGATATTCTTTAGAGTGGTTTATATCACATTTCATCACTTGGGGAAATGGGTCATTTTTACAAGAGCCTTTAGAGACCTTTTAAGTACATACAGGGCATATATTTAATACACCTTAGCATTAGTAGGTCAGAGGAAATAAAGCAAGATAGTAGATATCTACGATGTAATCAGGTAAGCAAATTAATGTGAAACTGCTTATATTCTGTCTTGAAACCCTTGGTATAATTTTCAAAATTGCCTTTTATTCTTTTCAGTTACTTTCTAGAAATTTCCATCATTTGAAGGATTAATGGCTACCACTTGTTGAACCTAGAGGGTGTCTGTGAACTTGTTGAACACTGCCTTATTAGAACAGAAGTCTCCAGTGAACCATGAACTCTGCATAGCTGGGACTCTGAGCTTACCTCTTACTCACAAAACCTGCAGGGCTCTCAAATTCATGTTTAAAATGCAAGCTACTGACAAGGAATGGGTAAACACCCACTGCAATTTCAAACGCATATGTGTATCCACTTTCCTCATCTATTCTTGGTGGGTAGGAGACCACGATTGAAAATTACTGAACTTAAAATGGTAGAAAATTTGAAGAGATTCTTTCTCCTTAAGTAGAGTGATTTATACTAATGGTGGGATGGGCTAAATACCTTCTTACTGTTTGTAGTCTACTGTGCTTCACATGCATTTTCTAATTTTAACAACACACGTCTGAGGTTAGTACTGTTGTCTCTATTTTGGAGATGATGAGACTGGGTCCTACAAAGTTAGGTAACTTGTCCAAGGTCATACAGCTTGGAAGTGACAGAGCTGAGGTTCAAACGTGTATGTCTTTGATCCTAGGATTCGTGCCTTTTCCACCCGAGGACCACTGATTCTTATTTTGCATTTAAATGAAATACACATACACAGCCCCCACCCCCCTGCCCACATAATATATAAATATGTTCCCCCATCCTCCCAAATGCTCATTGGAAAATTTAGACATCAAAAAGAAGCCTTTTTGCTTTGAAATGCAATTTAAGTGGCCATTACTTTGAACAAAGTGAAGTGTAGTTTTATTAGTGAAGAACATCGAGTCATTGAGACTAATAATTTTGTGGAACAACATTATTAAGAAAAGCAATATGCTATTTAATGAGTAATATTTACTTAAGTCATAAAGGAAAATTCAAACATCTGGAATATTTTTTAAGCAATATAGCATTTATGCATGGAATGATGTTTTTCCCCTATGTCTTACAGGAAATAACATATAATTTGAGATGTATATGAGAGATTTTATGTTCATAGATATCTTTTTATTTCACTGAGCACATTAACAAAAATTATATTAAAAATGAAAAATTGCTTGATAGCAAATTCTCTGTGATGAAATTTTATCATGTCTTTATTAACCCCATTATTGCTACTTCATCTCTCTTAATAGGTTGCTTGTCTAAAGAAAAGTTGTAGAAATCTTATTGGTTCACGCACATACAACTTTACCACATTGTTTTGGTGTTCCTTTGGGGGTGATATATTGGCAAGTGTGGGGAGGTGATCAAAGTATGTGTAGTGTCTCAAGAAATTGCATCCTCAAGTTTTTAACACTAGAAAATAGAGATTTGCATATGGTTGATATGCCTTCTTTTAAATACGTATTCACTAGGGGCAGTTATACCTGGTGAATTTAGAGATGTAGTAATACAAGAGTTACAGAATCAGAGAATTTCTGAACCAAAAAGGGCCTAATAAATGAAGGGCTCTTGAAGTGAAAGTCGTCATTAGAAGATGAGTTCAGTGACTGTCCAAGACTAGAGCTCTAAGTCAAGTAGTTTCTGAGATTACTGCGTTAGGCTTACAGCCGAACAAACCAGGAAGTGAGTGATCACAGCAGGTGAGGGCTTTCAGCTTTCTGGTGTTGGAGAATAAACTAAAGTCATAGGGGAGATAATCTTACGACATGAGGAAAACAAATCAGAAAAATAAAGACACTTTTATTTCTTCTTATTAACACAAATGATATAAAACTTTAAGTGTTATATACTTTTTAAAATAATGGGATAAGCCTATTTTAAAAAATAATACATTGCTAAATTATTTGTATTTTCTGAGTATAAAATTTGAGCTTATTTTTATTAAAAATTTTATACATGTATGTAATGGAAAAATACACATTTTTTGGTTGTTATCTAGGATCTGAAGGTTTGAACGGGCCAATGAGTATCCTCATCATTGAAGCATTCTATGGAGGCTCCCATAAACAGCTGGTGGATCTTCTCCAAGAAGAGTTAGGAGACTGTGTCCTTTATACTCTTCCTGCAAAGAAATGGCATTGGAGAGCCCGGACATCTGCTTTATACTTCTCTCAGACCATTCCCATCAGTGAGCATTACAGGTAATTAGAGCTCAGGATGCATTTTCAGCTTTTGCAAAAAAATACCTGTTATGAGGATGTTGCTTCTCTATCAGCATCTTTGAGAATTTCTGCAACTATGGAATTGGTTATTATGACTACAGTAGATATTTCTTTAGAGAAAGCAGAGCAGTGAAGTACACTCATCCTCTAAAGACACCTGGTCAGTGGGAAAGAAGCTTCATTTAGAACCAGCCACATGTGTTTTCTCATTGTCTTGTGATTTCATTATGTACATGGCTGTGAGTGTGGGTAACAATTTTTGGCCTAAGAGTAGATCTTCTAGTTTGGTTCATTGTATCTGCTCTGTACGAGTAACCAGAGTTGAAAGGCGGATATGTCCAAGGCTTTAAAGTCTGTTGAGGTAGAGATAGGCAAGTGCAATGAGAGGTGAAAGATAGAGAGGTTGATTTGGACTGTGACAAACTGGAAGTGGCTTTATGGAGTTGGTAACCTTTGACTTACTCTTGAAGGATGAGTAGATTTGAGGGACACAGAACTCAATTCTGAATTCTGGTTTGTTAGGAAGTAGGAACTAGCAGGACCTATTAGAAAGGGTCTCATGAGCTGGGCATGGTGGCATGTGCCTCTGGTCTCAATTACTCAGGAGGCTGAGGTGGGAGGATTACTTGATCCCAGGAGTTCAAGGCTGCAGTGAGCCAGGATTGTGCCACTGCACTCCACCCTGGGCAATGGAGTGAGACCCTCATCCCTAATAATAACAATAATAATTTAGAAAATAAGAGTCTTATGGGACACACTGAAAAGATGGAGGTACATACTCATTACATTTTAACTGAGGGAAGAGACGGGATGGAATCCCCTTGAACATCTCTTCCTCCTTATTCTCCATTTGTATGTATTCCTGTGTATTCTCCTGATGGTTAAATAGTGGAAGACTATCCTATGGTGGTTAACATAGCTAATGTTTTTGCCATTTATTATCACAAATAATATAAAACTTTAAGTGTTATGTACTTTTTTAAATAATGGGATAAGCCTGTGTGTAGGACTGCATTGGTTTGGGCAGGAATGAAAAGTTTTGGGCTGATAATGAATGGAGTTAGAGCAGATAGGTTCTTAGAAGAAGAGCGTGTTGGAAGCTGCAATGCCCACCTTACCTCCAGTACCTGTACCCGTCTGCTGCTTGTAAAGTGGCCACAGGAGACATAGCAGCTTGTGACTTAAATGTAACTTGCTGTTCCTAGTAGGAACTTGAGGAATTCAGAGAGTAACCATTTTCTGTATGAAAGCCATGTATCGTCTCTGAGAATGCATAGCGTCAGATGGAATAACAGTGAGCATTCCAGTTACATGGCTTAGGATTTTAAAAGTAAAATGCTGTTTTAGTGCGTATTCAGAATTTTTTTTTTTAGTGTAAAGTGTATCCTTCTTTACATAATTTAGTGTTTTATATTCTGATATAGTGAATATTGTGAATATAGTAATAAGTGAATATTGTTGAGTCACTAATAGTATGAGGAATTTCAATGAACATGTTAATATAAAAGTTGTGACTATTGCTGTGTTAAAATATGACTGTTTATGGTTGCTTTCACATCCCATTTAATTGTGTTTTTGCAGCACCAATTGTATTATATTACTTAAGGTCAAGTAATCCAGTTGACTTTATGGCACTTTTTCATTTAACAGTACCATTAAATATAATAAATTTCTACAGTGATTAGAACATTAAAATGAGCCATTTCTATATCTCTTGTTTGATTTCATTTTGATTATGCAGTTTTTCAGAATTACATTATTGTATCACAAATATATGCGTGTGGATAGCAAGCAAACACTTCTGCGCATATGGCTTCCCTACTCCCTTTGAAGCCTGAAGCATTTGAGGCTAAGTGTCACAGTGCTCTTTGAAGCAGTCTTATTTGGGAGGTGGATATCTGAAAGATGATGATATATAAAGCCTTACTCTCTGATAGCCATAACCTCCACGGCCTAACAATGGTGTCTGTCATCTTTCAAGGTATGCCATTTAGCCTTTGCAGTTAACCATACTAATGTAATCAGTCTTTAACCCAAAGACATGTCTTGCTAGTTTAACTTATATTTGAACAATGATAACTTCTCTACTCTTTACCAAGTAACTTTTTTGAATACTTTTAGAAAAATAGCAGTAGCATGAAAACTTGATCGCACAATACTAATTTAACAAATATGTGCATTCAATCCTAGATTGAAGTGCAAGAGTAACCTTTTGTTACACCAAATAAGTCTGAGATCTGTGGAGATTTTTAAAGATGTGAAAAATTTGTGCTCTCCAGCTGTTACTTTTTTGTATACTTGGTACATGAAATCATCAAAACTCATAAAGGTAAAATGATTAAACACCAATATTGCCTTCTATGCAAAATACTCTGAACAAATACGATTGTGTCTGATGAGAAAGACTTTGAATGTAGGTACATATTGGTTTTTTTCTCACTTCTGAACATGTAGTAGTTGTTGTTATAATCTTACTATCTGAAATGTATTTTATTATTAAAAGAATAAATACTTCAGCCTAATTAATCAGTTTGATTCTGCTTTATCTTGACAACTAAAAGAATATATCATGGTTCATGTTAGAGATGTTTAGTTTTATTATAGATTACGAAAGCTCAAGTTATTCTGTCAAAAGTTGTCAATAGTTATTGTTATTCTTAGGTTATATTACAGCTTTGCCTTAGATACTTCACAAGATACAGAAAAAAGTTTTGACTATGGGGCTTGAGGGAAGGCATTAACTTTTGTGTTATGATGTTAATCATTCGTTCCAGGATGAAGCATTTCTACTTTCTTAGACTGTACCTTAAACTAGATATCGAGGATATTTTATTCATTTTTCATTCTGTAGTATCTTTACTGAACTGAAAGAATCTCTGTTATTTAAAAATCATTTTTTTTCACCCTCAGATGCTTACAATTACATTTTTTGTTTCATCTGAGGTATTGTGACAGATACTGATCATTGCTCACTTAACAGCCTTCTTCCTTGTTAACAGAATCACAGTTTTCTTTAGGATGGATAAGTATCCAGCCCTTGGGAGTGAAGCAACATGGACTTAAATTAGTTAGGATGATCCCATTCTCCTTTGCCAAATTTTCCCTACTCTCCTTGCAGCTTGGGTTGATCAGTCTCCAAGTGTGGCAAATTAGAGTTAAGTGGGTGACTACTGGGAGTTATTCCAGCAAAGTGGTTTGATTTTAAATTTTACTTATAAAAGAAGAAGGCCAACTCCCCTTTCTTACATTTGACTGGTTGTGATGTCTGCAACCATGAAGTACAAGCATGAGGACAGAACCCCTGGATTGCCATAAATGGCTGATGGGAGTTTGCAAAGTGCCTGGATTAGTGGTGGATATGTGATTTGAGTTCAAGTCTGGCCACCTGCAAAGACTATATACTATTCGTTCTTCTTAAGCCCATTGTCTTAACAACTATTCTGTCTTAATTCCAGTTAAAGCATGGTAAATTATTTAATTAAATTAAACCTAAATATGTCTTGATTAAAATATATATTATTGTATTTTACAATTAGAAGTAGGTATGGTACTTCACCCAGTCTTGAGACATATTGCAGTTCTTGATTCTTGTTGGACGCTGGAGGGCCAGACACCACGTGTTTTCTGGGTCTGTGAATCTGTGATGTTCTCTTAATCCTCAAAAGTCACAGGTCATTTGAATTTTCCTCTTTTGAGGCTTTTCTGTTATTTAGCCTACTAGCTTTACTATCCTATACTGCCTTGTTGTGGGGTCTTCTTTTGGTTTGTTTTTATACCAATCTTGCTCTCCTATCTAGCCAGCACACATTGCGGCCTAATTCTAGACTTGCATGGCCCTTAGGGCTTCTTCCACAGTATTTCATCTCGCTAAAGTTTCCTCTGATTGACAGGATTGTTTAATTTAGGCATGCTGACTTTATGTTGAAAATATAGCTGACAATTAGTTAGGATGATCCCATTCTCATCCTAGATTCAGTAGATCTACAAATCTACTGAAGTAGGATAATCCTGCAAACCAAATAGCCAACCATTTGGTCAGTCTCTGCCACTTTCTGTCTGTCTCTTTCCTCTCTCCCCCTCTCTTCTCTTTCTCATATACACACATATGTGTGCGTGCACGTGTGCGTGCACATACACACACACCTGCACACACATTCTTCATTATAAAACTAGAACTTAAACCTGTCATCATTATCCCTAAAGGATGGTTTCTAGGCTTCATCTTTTCCATGTTCCTTTGTGTTCCTTTGTCAGTGTTCTCGATGAAAATATTCCAGTTAGGAGGGGGACAAGGTTTTCTTGTTATGGAGTTTGTAGTTTATTCTTACCACAGATTGCCAATTCAAAAGTGTTTGTGTAGTTAGTGGCAGGCACTGTGAAACCATTGCTTTCCAGGAGTTAAGCACTGCAGTGCAACTTCAAGTAGATACTTTTAATATCCTTTCTAGCTTATTTAAAAAAATAAAATATTACATGTAAGGTTCTATACGGCTCCCTGGGTAGCAGTTCATATGGATACAAGACATTATTCCTAACAAACTCTGTGCCTTTAAGACCTCTAGGATAGGCCGGGCGCGGTGGCTCAAGCCTGTAATCCCAGCACTTTGGGAGGCCGAGACGGGCGGATCACGAGGTCAGGAGATCGAGACCATCCTGGCGAACTCGGTGAAACCCCGTCTCTACTAAAAAATACAAAAAAAAAATTCAAAACTAGCCGGGCGAGGTGGCGGGCGCCTGTAGTCCCAGCTACTCGGGAGGCTGAGGCAGGAGAATGGCGTGAACCCGGGAGGCGGAGCTTGCAGTGAGCTGAGATCCGGCCACTGTACCCCAGCCCGGGCGACAGAGCGAGACTCCGTCTCAAAAAAAAAAAAAAAAAAAAAGACCTCTAGGATAAATCTCTTGTATGTTTACCCTTTAAATTTGACAACTGTATTTTAAAAGACAAACTGGATGTTTATTATACTTTTACAGAGGGGAGA